AAAATTTAAACCCCAATGGGCCCCCCAAAAAAAAAAAAAAAAAAAAAAAAAAAAAAAAAAAAAAAAAAAAAAAACTTGTAACGTGTATTGGGATAATTGATAAATGAAACTCAATGTACTGATGTTGATATATACTCAGCAAAAACAAAAGATACTTCCTTTTGCAGGAAACTGAAGTACTAGCTCCTCCATAGGAAGGGGGTGGGGGGCAAGAAGATGTCAGAGAATTTTTTTCCTTTCTTTTTCTTTCAGGAAAGAAACACGTATTTAACTGTTTTTCCATTGTTTATTTATTTATTGTGTTATTAATATTCAACAGATATGCTAACCTCAACTTCTGGATCTGCAAGAAGCGCTGTAAGGTTTTTGTTCTCTGTTTTAAACTGATCCTCATCAATTGAAACCTGCCACAAATCATGAAAAATTGAAAGAAAATTCAGCCATGACAAGCTTCACCACAAGCAAATTATGTACAGAAAGCATAGTTATTACTTGTACCTCGTATAGGTTATAAATATGCCTTCCATGAGGAAGAATTTTGTTGGCACGCCTTCCTGGAAATTTGTCTTCTAATGGAGCTTTAGAATTTATGTAAAACACTCTAGGAACAGTTATAGGAATCTTAAGCATTATTCCTTCCACTACAATCCAAGCAAAATATTGACCACTCTGAGAACTCGGAACTAGCTGTACTATCTGAACCACAAAAACAAAAACAAAAAAACAAAACAAAACAAAAAAGAAAAGTTAATTAAAAACAAAAATAAAGATTAAGCCATCACAAAGTAACATTCCCAGTTAAATGTTTGGACTTAACGAACAAATTCATTACCTGCCAGTGGTAACGTGTTAGGGCTACTTCCTGCCTCCTAAAGTAGGAACTAACGCCTGTTCCGCCCTGGGCTTCTTTGTGATTTGCCACTTGACTAAGCAACTTAGGAAGACCATTAGCATTATTTGTTGCTGTCGCATTGCCTAATCTGTCAAAACCATATTCAAATCAGCTTCATATACATTATTGAGATTGTTTCCAACTAATTTAAGTTTTTTTTAAAAATAATAATAATAAGAAAACACCTTTATTGATAATTATCATAGCGGGTACAAGAGGATAAGGTATCCTCAAAATACAAGGAAAACATAACAGAAACAAAAGGTAATCTGGCTTTTAGGCAGGCAACTTAACATAAAGATCTCCACAGCTTAAGCCTCCCAATTTTTGTTAAATTTCACGTTTTAGATCCTCTGATGGTGGGAGGACCTCACATGAAGGACTGTCATATAGTAGATAAAGCTCCTAGAAATTCAAACTATTATGGAAAAAAGGGAATATGACGCGGTACAAATCAAGTATCTAAATGGATATGTCCAAATTTTATAATGCTTTGTGCATAAAAAAGTGCTTGCATTAGGTTAAGTTTCATAGACCAGAGACAGGAGGTGTTAAAAGTGTGGCTTGCCATCTTTAATGTAATAAAACATTGTTGGATCCAGTCCTATATTCATATATGCATAAAGCCTCTGAAAACCATATGCACAGAACAGTTGCTAGCTACAACCAGCGGCTACATTGCATCAATGCTACCTTGGACTTTATCTAGTTTAAATGCCTCCAAATTGACATCTTATTTAGCGAAAAAACATTCAGCCAAGCAACAAAAATTTTGAAATTTATTTGAGCCTTTATTTGTAGGTTAAGTGCAGAGTACCTTTGTTTTTTCCTCATATTGAGAGTATCTTTCCACTTTCTCTTCTTTATTTCAAGCCATCCTTGATAATCCACATTTCTGTCAATGCTCTCAATTTGCATTTGATTTTCTTTTGCACTATTATCAGTTTGTTGTGGATTCACTTCTGATATATTCTCAACTGAATTACGCGTGTTATTAGCTTCATAACATCGAACAACTGGTCTATGTCCCTTTATGGAACTGTTACTGTTTTGGAGGTCTTCAAGATCTTCAACAATCTCTTTATTCGTCGCATCACTAGTTTCAACAGCATCACCATTCCTTTTCAACACATTATCTTTCTTCAGTGAACTAAACATATCAGCTAATTTCTTTTGTCGAAATTTGTCCTCCTTCTCACGAACCTTCTTATGCAACCAATCAGGATGAGCCACCCTAGGCACAGGATTTGAAACCTAAAGAAATTTTACATTCAGCAAATAGAAGTATTCAGATAAGGATACAGAATTCCATCCACAGATGATAGATAGTCAAAACAAAATAAAGGCAAATGGGCTTGCACACGCGTACGCATGGGTGTCGTGTGAGAGAAAAGAGAAAGAAAGAGAGAGAGTGAGCATTGACTACTTCAAAAATTAGCAATTCACAAGCAACAGAACCTTTTGCATTGCAGCAGGAA